GTCTGTAGGGCAATCTTTGAGAGTGCTAAACGATGGTTATCATTGATTAATGTTTAAAATAAAAATCATTTTGTATAACAGGGACTTAGCAATAAATCTTCAATTTTTGTTATGTGGATAGTCGAATTATTGTGTTTTGTTTACAGATCGTGTAAATTGGACTCGAAACATCGAGAGTTAATTGTGAAGTTTAGGATAATAGTGGTCTAATCATTATATGAAAATTCTCGAGAAAATAGAACTTTTATGAAATGTTTTATGAAATTTAATTGGATTAATTCAATACTAATGTTACAATTATTAATATTAATAATTAAAATCAATTAATGTTATTCATTAATTTTAAGAGCATGTTAATAATTAATAGTAATTAATATGATTAATAACATGTTAATAACTGTTTGTAGGTAATATCATTAATAACATGGTAATGATTAATAGTAATTAATATTATTAATAACATTGTAATGAGTAAGATTGTTAATGACATAGTAATATTAGTATGTATTTAATTAATCTTAGAACATTTTAGAAAAGCTATTTCCTGTCAAAAAATTCAGAAACAGGAGTTAGACCACTATTATTCTGGTCAACTTAATTATGCATACCAAATTATACATTGAAAATGGGCAATTTCATTGAAAGAAAGTTGACATCCTTGAAATATCTAACACATTCAGTTTGAACACGTTTTCTCACATTTTTAAAAGGAGTTTAGAAACAAGTTCCAGTCTGTTAAATTAAACCTCGTTAGACTACCCATTAGACGTTCTTTTTTAACATTTTTCTGCAACTTTTATAGCATGGTAATAAAAATACGACATTGAAGAAAATATGAAAAACATTTCAAACCATTTCGTAGGAAAAGAAACAACCCAATGCCTTGTAATGTTGCTAATATTTTCGGAAATATTCAGGTACACTTTTCATTTGTCTTTTTTTAACTACGTCGGTTTAAAAGGTAATACAGATAACAATTAAAGATACAATAATAAATTGCAGATTACAAGTATCTTCAACTCAGGAATTAAAAATTATTATTTGAAAAGGTGGCACACGAAAGTTGAAGATGAACTTCGTCTATTTTCAATGGAAATCTTTTGGTAAAATGTACAAGGCAGGTCTGAAGTAGATTTTACGAACATCCGAAAAGTAATTTGTTATATTATTTAGCAAGTATTGTACATAGATAAATATATAATATATTAATATATTAATATCATATAATAAAATAATAAAATCTTATACAATACAATAATAAATAAAGTAAACTTACTTGTATTCATAAATTATCGAGATCATTATCAATTATTATCGAGACAGTATAATAATGATAAAGTTCTAAAGAAATGTGTAAAGGTATTAATTTACCACCACTTTTTATTGCTAAAAGATCGTTTATTTGAAATAAGTACATGCTCATAATTTGAGCGAAAGTGATTAAAATTTAAACGATTCAAGGGATATAAAATCTCAGCACGTAAATAAAACTGTAGGTTAAATTTTTTGTTCTCACGAATTCAATTTTGCACAGATACCAATCATTTACAAATAGATTGATTCTTTGGAGCGGAAACTGACGTGCAACAGCATTACACACGTTACGCGGTGTGTATGTAAAACCATTATGTAAAAGTCATGACATTTATATTGACGAACAGACCACTGTCACGGTCAGATCACGTCGGATGTCAATGAGAATACTTAAAACACTTTAGCTGCAAACTGATTGAATTTATCTCATTTTATTCGAGTGAGCTGGCATTCCAAGGACTCCGATTATTGTGAATATATGGCGTTCTACATTTTTTTAACGAGTGGAGATACCTATTTATATAATATTAATGATAATATTAATTAACATGTTCACTACCATCATTTGTTTTGATGATGACGTTCTCAATTGCATTATTCCATGGCAAACGAATCTTCCAAATAATATATTGAGCAAATGGAACTAAGAAGAGTTTTTATGTTCCTAAATATAAGGTTATACCTTACGACTTTAAATAATAATATCTATGGAATTGATTTTATTTTTTTCATGTGACGTATAAGATTTTAGTAATAACAGATATGTGACGCTGATGGCAAATGTGTTAAATATTTACAACACCGTTTCTAAGGATCCATTTTAGGAGTTTTAGAATGTAATGAATAGTATTTTGATTCATGTTATTAATATTATTTAGAATAAATTAACATGTTCATATATTAAAATACATTACCAAGAATAAAAATGTATAGCATTTTTGTTCTTCAACATTCACTCAATGTTCAATTCAATTTTTTCAACTTTTAAAAGTAAAATACAGTCCTTTAACGTTACTAACAATTAAATAAGAATACAAAAAAATTCAACATATTATTATTCTTTATTGTTCAATTTATGTTTTAATCCTCCAAAAATACTCACCGAAATGAAGATAAAATATTTTAATAAATATAATATTCTTATAACTTCACAATCTGTCACTCTCCAGTACCTTCCATTGACTAACAATAATGATCGCTCTGTAATTACAAAACGTAACTCGAGAAGTAGAAATACACCGCGGCGCGAACTTATGGGATGACATTACAAGTCTATGTCATGCAACACCAACTCATTGGAAATTACAAAAATGATAATAATGGAGAAAAATATGTCCAATGCATCGTGTTCACGAAGAAGGTAGAAGTCCCGATGTATTATTCCTATATTTAATGAATGAAAGAAGAAAAAGGAAATAAATTAACAAAATATAAATCGAAAAAAATGGAAATTTCATTTAATTATCCTTTTTAATTCTATAAATATTCATTTATCACAATAAAAATGAGATTTGTTTACAAATTACCTAGGTATTCCATATTAGGTGCCACTTTTCAGGTGGCTGTTTTTCACATTTTTCACTTTATTTGCATTTTTTAAATTGTATCGAATCTTTATTAAATTCTTCGTGATTTGATGCACGTTTCATTGAAAAAAGTGCATATCTCTCGTTTTAGCAGACTTCTTAAATGTTAGTTACCATTACTCTATATGTCACGGTCTCGACAGTTAACAGTTAGCCAACCGAATGGGGAGATCTCCCATTCTTCCCTTAGCAATACATTGCTTTTTATTTTGTCAATTTATTCTTTTGTTATTTAGTAAGTCTTAAATTCGAGTTATTTGAAATTCGTCAAATACCTTTCTTGCTTTTATAATATAAAGCCCTTAAAAAATCAGTTAAATAAGTTCAATTGAAGATAATGAGAAAGCTTATAGTCGTAGTCTTTGTTAACCGGTTGTCTAAGTGTTAAGGGGTTAATGAAATCGCGCCATTTCAACCGCAGAGCCATCTCATCCGGAATTACCATTCTCGTTTAGTTTAATTGGAATATTCCCACCCACTCCATACAATATTCTCACGATTAGTACCCGAAAATCGGGACTGCGACCGGGCACTAATCGTGCATTGGTGTTGATTTGGAGTTGAGATAAAATCCAAGCGGAGCTCTCTGTTTTTCCTCTATAGAGAAGGACAACGTAAATGAAAGAACGAGACGCTCGATCTTCGGAACGATCAAAAGAAACAGATGAATAAGGGCATATTTATGCAATGTTAAACTTTATATTTTTCATTTTCACTAATTGAAACTTTTACCAACTGAATTGAAAAAGGTTTTCCGATTAAAATGAGACCAAACACGATCTATTTTTGAACATATTTACTTATTTAATAGATTACAGTAATTCATTTTCTTCTAGTAAATTGTGATTTAAAGTATATCATGTTTAGTCTTATTTTAATCAGAAGAATCTCACAAATGCGTTAATACAAATTTCATTTACAATAAAATCCTTATAAAAAAGTTTTATCGTTGCATTAATATTGTCTCACCGATATCTACCACTGAACAACATATCATATTATGTACAACTGCGCGACCGTCGAACTTCGTAACTTGGGACCGAGTATATGCTAATCGCGAGAATACTGTATTGCGCCGAATACTCGTTCCGGTAACCGGATGTACGGTATTCGGGGACCATACATGGGGAATCAGCTGACGCGCACACGTTGACATGTGGCGGCGTAAAGTTGGTCGCTTCCAAGCAACGGTATTACTTCGAAAAGTGTCACGATCGGTTCGGCGACATAGTGTCAAAACTCATACCAGACTATTGAACTTAATCAACGCTGTTTAATTCGATTTTGTAAATTTTGAACCTCGAAATTTCAAGTACAGTCGGAAGAAAATGCCGTCGAAAGGAAAAGACGCAGTAAATTGAACTAAATAACCTTTCGTGAAAGGAAGAAAAATTTGTTTAATAGTAATTTTCTTGAAATAAGTGCCTTTTACGAAACGAAGTTTCAATTAATATGAAATGATTGATAATCGAAAGTTGGCTCAATAATTCGAATACTTCCGTGTAATAAATAATACATCAAACAAATGTTTGTTTTTAATGATTTACTGTTGAACACAGATCTCAATCTTAACACTAAAATTACCGAACAATTGAAGTGACTTACTTCTAAGTTTATATGAAAATTAGAATAATATATTTCTCGAGATTTGATGGATCCCTTATTGTTGTATCATATAATTCATTAAAAAATTAAATTAAAATAATTCAAATGCTTGCAAACTAAAAATTCTAAAATGGGTTCATTTGACCTGTCTGGTAATTTTAGTGCCAATAAATTACAGATGTTTATGCGAAATCGCGACTTTTATTATATAGTATGAAACTGAAAGAAAACACAAAGAAAACTGTTCAATATATTTCCGTTTATAATCTTCAATTTATCGATTATACAATTTTTACCAAAGCTTTTTACAATTTCAATTTAATTGTCTTCGAAGTGTCTATATTATCCTGTAAATGCATCGAATCCAAATATTTCTGTTTTCACTTATCTTTCCTACCTTTTCATCATACTTATCTAAAAGCATCAATCGTTTATCATGAACGGTCACTCGTGCATTGTGAAATAAGGCACGTTTGTGATTTTCTTTATATACAGGAAAAGGAACCATGTACCGGTGACGCAACGGTTTTTAAAATATGTCTGGCGAACGGTGTCATTCTTAGTATTTGGCTGAACGTTTCCATTGTCGCTACTTACAAACCTGTTCCACACGACTCGAAGTCAATTTCTACTCCGACAAGATGATGTTGATCAAGAGCTTCTTCCGGAGGATCATCAAGGACTTCCGGCATAAGGAGCTGCTACCCCTGAAAATGATATTTTTCGTTCAGGCATCCAGTAAGTAAATATTATCATTTATAATGACCATTTTTTGTCACTTAACACTTTCGCGATGGACGATAGCCGGACAATACATTTAGTTGAATATAATTTCATATATAATATGACATATCATTTCTAAAATTAGATACTAGACAGATTTTAGATATTAGATATTAGATATTAGATATTAGATAGATTTTTAATATTTGTAGATTTATCTACAAATATTAAGTTTAAGTTATCTTTTTCGTGCAATCACATTCAAAATTACGGTATTGAGTATGTCAAGGTACCGTTATTTGTACGTATGTGAATGTAAGAAATATTACATCTCGGTATGATACTTACAGTCGTTTGTTGTTCAAAGTTTTCAAAAGTTAAATACTTAAACGTGTACAGAAATAAATATTTGTTCTCAATAAAATGTATTCAGCTAAAGTATTTTATATGACGTAGACTACGTCACTCGTGGCGAACGTGTTAATATTTCTACAACGCAAATTTCACTCTCTGGAAACTATATCTTCATATTCTTTTGATTATTAAATAATTTTCTTTTCATATTGATTGATGTTTTTATTTTTTGAAACTACCCTTATCAGATATTATACCTTGGAGATCTAAAATTCTTTTACATTTAGAATTTTGTATTATAATTTTTATAAAACTTTAGATAATTGTTACATTATTGTAATATACAGATGATAACTTTTATTTGTCTTTTTATTTTGAATAATTTACTACAATTTTGGATGTATTCGAAAAAGTATGTATTTAGCCTATGTGATGTTTGAAATGTTTCGAAGAAAGTATCTGAAATAAAGATAACACTGAGAAATACAAATCTTGTAATTCGTGATACAAAATGTTAGATTTTGTATTTTAAAACTTCCCCGTATGAGTTTATTATGATTATTGGTGTAAATCATGATTTTCAACCGCACTTTCAGCACTCTATGTACTTTATCCATATTTGACAATACATATGAGGGAGCTTGGCATAAATGTGGAGGAAACGGCCATAATGAGCGCCATAACGCCGGTGATCGCGATGGTGATGCCACCTTTGGCTGGAATGTTTGCCGACCGCGTAGGAAACTTCAAAGTAAAATCCTCATAAATAGTTATTTCTTTATCATACGGGTCGCACTGAATTATGTAGAATATTTGAAAAATTAGTTATTATTATTACTATACAGTTCCATGTCTTCATTCGCAAATCTGTTACATAATCCCATTTTATTACGTAAAAAATCAAAATTATTGTACTGCATTGATCAACTTACTTAATCGTACATCTCTCATAATTTTATTTTACTTCAGTCATGAATACATAACCAATTGTTTTTTATTGCATTATCTGCATTGTGTAATCACACTTAGATTCTTCTTCCTGATAAAATAAACTATTTAACTCACTCATACTCAATTATGTTCTGGATATGTTCTATCCATGAATTATGTCGTGATATAGTTAACGAAAGCAATTACACAGATAATACTGGCTAATTATATCATCTTTATGCATTTATAGTTTACGAAGATATTCGAAAAAGAATACGATAGAAACGTTCATAGAATTTATTTCTTTTTTTTCAAGTACTACGTTTATCCTACGGAATAAAAGATTTCTTTCGAATAGTACTTGTATTTATTCTATTGAAACTATTAACATAAGAAATAAGATATTACATTCATTTTACTGAATCAGAGACATTTTTCAAGTAATACCTATATTCGGATGACTTAGAATTATAGTAGTCTAACTTCTATTTCTAAGTTCTCAAGAAAAAAGGAAGCTTTTGTGAAATGTTCTTGGATTAATCAAATACTGATATTAATAATTAATAATAACTTATATTATTACTAACATTGTGGTATTAACATTTAGTTAATCGAAGAATCGTAAATATTACTACTAATATTAATAATGAATAATAATTTATACCATTAATAAAATTGTAGTATTAATATTTAATTAAACTAAAAATATGTCTCAGAAGCCTTTATTCTCAAGCACTCAGAAACAGGAGTTACACTATTATTCTGAGCCATCCATTTATCTTATTCAAACTAATAATCCAAGAAAAAAAATTCTATTTCGCTTCTGTCTCGCAATGTATCTAAAATTTCGTTCACTGTGAAATTGCGAATTTACATAAAAATCCGTGCAGCCGATTAATGATATTCCCTTCCAGATTTTACTGTCCCTGTTTTCTTCCTTCGGCGGATTCGCGGCACTGTTATTGCTGCTCGTGCCGATCGGCAGGATAACCGTGGAATTTCCGAACAGAGTCGTTATGGACCTTGGCTGCACAGGGAATAACGGGCTGCTTTACACGATGAGCCAGAGTCATCCTTGCGAGACGGAATTGCAAGAAAAGATCTCCGCTAGACTAGAGAGTTGCGGGTAGGTAAGGATACGGGTTCGTATCGCAACCAGATTCAAATTTTCTAATGAGGTGCACATGTTATACATAATGTATTACACGCTTTAAGATCCTTCCTTATGCATACTTGGTATCCTATCGCTGTATTTAATAGAGCATTCGTTTTTTTAGTTTACTCAACATTTTAAGATTGCTTAAGATTTTTAAATTTTTGAACATTCTTTCAGCAATTTTACGATTTCCAAATGATATGCAGTACAAGTAGTTTTGTCGTGAAGAAGTAATATTCGAAATTAATGTTTTAGAATTTTGAATTAATTATTTCTAAACTTCAACAGTTTTATGACTTCTAAATGATTTAAACAGTTTTATCGTGAAAGTGTAATGCTCGAAAAGTTTCAAAAATCCGAGTTAATTGTTTGTAATTTCACTGGTTTGGAATTTAAAAATTAAGTACAGTGGATTCCTATAATAGCGTGCTCTCCTATAATGAATTGAGAAAATTGTGACTGGTACTTACGCATTTTGACATATTTCTCAATTGTTTGTTTAGGAACACAATATGTACACACTTACTTGTTGTTTATATATACATAAAGAAGCTAAGAGTTATGAAAGTGGTAAAGGTTTATATTATATTTACTATATTTGTAAAAATAAAATGCACATTTGAATATATAATGGAAAAATATTTGTATTCAACAGTAAATTCATTTAGCAGAGTATTTTACTGTACTTTAAAGCTCTAATAATGTAAAATTTAAGAATTATGTGTTTTAGAATTTTAGTAATTTGAAACTTGAAAAAATTAAATATTTTAGAATCAACTTATGCATTTTAACTTAAACAAAATGCTTGACTATTCAAAACTGTATTTTATTTACAATTTGTTACCTTCTTTTAAAGTTACATGTGTCGTATGGATGTTTATAATGATACGGAACTGGAAACCATCTTGTCGTCAAGGATGTATTCATTTATGCGGTACAATTTGGAAACCGGCTCAAATTCCACGATTAATTTTTCGATTGCTCAGAATGACATGCCAGTGGTACGTATTATTAAATGATAACCTGGTTTACCTATCTTTAATGTCAATTTTATTATAATTTTATAGTACCGAAGAAAATTTCTTAAAATTCTTATTTCCTCTTTAACTTCTCTAAACGTTTACTAGAAGAAATAAATTTCCTTAATAACTGATTTATAAATAAACACTCACATGTATTTAAAACGTGCAACTATTTCTGTTTTAAACATGCGTAAAAGAACACCTCCTTTATTTACTATACTAACTTTAAATATTTAAAAACAATATAACCAAATAAAGTATGAAAATATGACAAAAATAATTAAAACATTTATTCGCATTCTTTTTACTATGTAATTGTAAAATTCAAATTTATTATTCATAAAAGTAGCAAGCGATAGAAATTTCTTCAGTATATAAAATGCAATTATATAATATATAATATACTCAAAATTTCAGAAAAATTTAATTAACATTTTATTTAATTTTCAATTTGAAATTCCGATTGTTTGATGTTTATATTACCTTAATCTTGTTTCTGGTGATTATTAAGAAAATCGATAAAAGTGTTATCGTCATCATCGATGACTGGATATTTAATACTTGAATTCCTAGATAATGCTAAATGTAATTGAACGATTGACTTACAGCAAGTGAAAGACGAAGACATACGGGAGCATCGTAGGTTAACAAATAATGAGCACTTCAAAACTTCGATACGTCAGATCTCGAAGAATGAGTATTTCTTCCCAACGAATCAGCTATACGAATTCGCGTGTATGACATCGGGATTCATCGAGGACTTCGAGACATCGACATTCAACACTGCCATGTCGAACAGAATTTACGAAAATAGAACTCTTTGCACTTTTAATCCAATTCTTTCGCTCCAGGTGAATAAAGTATTAATTCGGTTTGATTGATTGATTAATCAGTTAATTTTTATTAGGTATTTTTATTTATTTATCTTTACTTATTTATTTATTTTTATAAGTAACCCATTTATTAAATGTATGTGTTACTGATTTTGTAAACCAATTATCATTCCTTTTTTTCATAATCGAATTATAATTTCATCAAAGAAAATTGGAATTAGTCTTCTTTAAGGTAAATATTAATTGTCAGCTATAAAGTAAATTTTAAAAGAAAATTTACTGTGAAAAGAGTAACTCGAAAATAATAACAATAATAGTAACAATTTGGATAATCATAATTGAAAATAATTATTCACTTATTTTACTCTTTGAGTGTTTTTTAACACTTTCTACAAATACAATAACATACTTACAAAATACAGTAATTTATTAACTCTAATTATGCTAATAAGTCATCTAATATTATGATCAATTATTATCATTTTGATTATTTCATGGCCTGTAACACTGTAATAATTAATTACTGTGTCGTAATCAATTGATCAAATATAATATGATAATCAAACTATTGATTATTATATTACAATTAATTATAGTATAATAATTCATTATTTGGATGTTCAATACAATTTTATTAATTACCATAGGTATACAATTACTTTCCACTTGTTCTTTCATCTAACCAGTACTTTTTATGCAGGATAATACAAGTAACACGATAAACTATCATTCGTACAAGTCGAAGCTAAAGAACATCAAAGTTACGGACGAAGATCGCGAGCTAAAACGCCAAAGATATTTTTCCGAGGAGATCGCGTGGACCGGAGACAAATATCAGAAAATAACCTGCGCAAATCCTGACCTCGAAACAGAAAGGATCGTACTGAATCTACCATTAGTAAATTACTCAGTGAATCCTGCACCGTACAAATTCCTAAGCAGCGACGACTGCCATAAACGTTGCATAGTGACCGCACCGCGCAACGAGATGTGTTCGAACAACAATATGATCGTCGAATACAACGTGAGCTTGACATTCTGGCTGTACTTGGCTATTAGAGTCTTCATTGGTAAGTGTAGATATTAGTTGTATGTTAATAGCGATAATAATAAATAATTGACGTATGTAATAATATAGTACTAATATAATGATAATATATAACAATGATACATAAGTTCGATTGCAAATATTATAGTATATCAAATAGTAGAGTATATATTATAATATATACAATTATTATATAATAAATTATTTTTAAAGCTAAATAAATGTGTTAAGTACCCCACTGCTATAACAGTTTGAAAAATATATACTTGAGAAACAATGTTGGCACCCCAACTAACGACTAAAAATTTCATTGACAGCCAACTTAAAAGGTTAAAGGTTACCGCATAAAATAGAATTGCTGATTGTGATCGTTCCATTTGTAGGTGTAATTGGTGGCACCACGTTCGCCATGTTCGAGGGTGCAGTGATCGCTATATTGCGGGAACAGAAAGCTGATTACGGGCTTCAAAGGATTTACGGCAGCATCGGGGGTATGATTTCCTCACCGCTTTCTGGACTTTTGATCGATTATGCGAGCCGCGATAAGAGTTACACAGACTTCAGGTATCCATTACAATAATAGACAATTCGAATGGTCGATCTTCACGCAATAAAAACAGTAATTAACAAGGTTAATCATAATTACAATTATAATTATATATAATTGTATATTATAACTGTATATAATTGTTTATTATTAGTTTATATAATTGTATATTATAATTATATACAATGATATAATTGTGATTAATCAAAGTATTCATTGTTTACAAATAATTTTACAAGTAGAAATAACTGACAAATAGCAATATATAATTTCGAAATCTAATTTATCTGAAAAATATTACTTTGGGTACACGTTTTTTTTTATTGCTAACTATTTCCACTTGTAAGAGTATTTATAAACATCGAATAGTTTGATTAATCAACAGCAAATATTACAATAGTTAATTTGGAACGAATAGATTTTAAAATGATAAAATACAGTAGTGGGAAAACAAATGAATTAGTTTAGCTGGGATAATGCAAGCCCGATCAATTTTCTGATTTCATGTCCGCGTATCCTAAAATTTGCGTCAAATCATTTTGTTCGTTCATCCAAAATATAGTTTTGGAGATGGAAAAACATGTTTTTTATTTTTTCTTTGTAACTGCTGGACATGTTGAAAACGTATTAAACATATTATTATATTATCAAGGAAACATTGGATTATATACTTATTAATCGACTAATAATTTGGTCATTGTAATTGTTACATTATTAATTTAAAATTATTATATTACTGATTTGAAATTATTCAATTATTCAATTAAAATTATTATGTATGCAGTTAACTTTGAAAGTGGACTAAGTTATATATTTTTAGTTTTGAGATATTTAAAGGTTTGTGGCTGAATAAATTAATAACATATTTTTCTACGATGTAACAAAATATTTCAGAAGATATTCAGTCTTGAAAAATAAGAATTTATTATAACTGTGTAACGTTCTGTAACTTATAAGAAAATATGATTTTTCATGCTTGAAACGACTTAGCCCACTTTCAAAATTAAGGGCATATATTATTCATTCAAAACTATTATATTATTCATTTAAAAATCACATTTTCCAGGCCGGCATTCTATCTGTACGCGGCGCTGAAACTGATGTCGGGAGTATTAATGCTCGCCATAAATTTAGAATTCAAATCACCAGCGACGAACGTGATTCGCGACGTCTTTACCGTGTTGAGGAACATAGAGGCTGCCGCCCTCTTCATCGCGTGCTTCATTCTGGGTAAGAGAGCTATCAATTTCAACCAAATCATTTCATTTTGAAAACGTTGGCTATCCAACACGTTTCATGTATCAATAATAATTAGCTTAAACAGAAACGAGATACTTATTCTTTTAACCTTCAAAGATTTAAGCTTGGAAGCTAAAGATAATAACTGGAAAAATTAAACAATTCGAAATTTTTGCACTATAGTGTTTAGATAATAATTTTGAAGAAACGCGGCATGATAAATTGAATTACTTATGGATAAAAAATTACTTCTTTCCAGTTGTACCATCGATAAATCGTATCTTAACTAAAACACTGTAATAAAACATAAACAATTCCTTATAAAGTGCTACATCTAGGTATTTGAGCATTACCCTGAGTCTTATATCAACATTCATGAAAATGGTAAACTCAGATACTGACATTTGGTAATTTCTTTTTTTTCATATAATATGAAAGAAGCTTAAGAATTAACAGAAACATACACGCAAACATTTGTCAAATATTTAACGAAGAAAATCATCTTTTGTTTAATTCTTGTTCGTGAAAATTAATTTACTTTAATACTTTGTGTTTCTCACAGGGTTCTAAAGGGGCAAAGATATTTAGGACATAATAAGAATGTACAGATTTTTAACAGGCTTGTAACAAATTAAACCAGTTTTTAAAAGATTTTTTTCTCGAAAATTAAATCATACAAATACAAATTTAAAATGAACATTACACAGTCCACTTGTGACCTTAAGCTCGTCACAATTCATCCAACTGATATAATGATTACTATCTACGTACTAAAAATATTTCATATTGTTTTACATTGTAACCTACTACTAAAGAATTCTTAGTTTAACATTAAAACTACCGGACAAGTCAGGTTGACACATTTCAGAATTATTATTTTGCAAGTATTTAAATTATGAAACGGATAATAATTTGCAAGTATTTAAATTATGCACGGATACAAGATTACGAGACCCTTCGAATCTCCAGAAACGTATTGTTCTAATTTTTACAAAACATTGGAAATAAGTCACTCTAATTGCTCGGTAGTTTTAATGTTAAAATGAAAAACCATAAATTAAAAATTCACACTTTGAAATTTGCATTGCTATTTAACTACCAAATACGACGTTCAAAGTTGATTGTACATTCATAAAAATCTGTGATAAGCATTTCTAAAAATTTGGGACCCTTGACTATTTTTAATTACCAACATCCAGGTTTGTCAGTGAAAGACGAGATGCTGGTCACCTCTTATTGCCACAACACACAGGAGGAATACTCCTGAAAAAGAGGGTAGGGTCTTGTCTGGATCCAGAGGAAAACCAAAGTTGCTTAGGTTTTGTGTTTTAATGAGTCCTGCGATGGTGAATCCGAGTTATAAAAACCTGGTAAAGGTATTGACTTGTTCTTGACAGTAGCGTGGTTAGGATAATTCTGCTCTTCTCGAATGATGGAATTTAGTAAAACTCGGGAAAGGGAAAATTTGTTGGTAGAGAGTGGGAAATATTTAGACCTTGATGATTTACATTGGGGGTTGGTGTGACTAAAAATCTGGACGTCGGACTGCCAGCTATGTTTACACTTCGCCAGATGTATAAGATGTTCGCAGAGTGGTTAGCTTGGCAAACAGACGCAGTTATAATACTAACGGAACGTTTCCGTGTTCGTAATTGTTGTTTTTAGATAGTGGTGATAATGAACACGCAGGCATAGTATGATGTCATGATCGAAACATTGAAGATAGAATTAACAAAAGTGATAGTAATAGAAATAATCGTTATAATAGTAGCAATAATAATAATAATAGTGATAATAGTTATTACAAATATATAGGGTGCTTAATGGGGTAGGATGTAACATCACCGATGGCTGCACTGAACGCGTTAACCGTCTCAGCCAGAACCGGCGTGGATTTCCTAAATTCTTCAGTACGACGCGATGAGATTGCGAAAATGAACGTTGAAATAAGTTACGCAACCTTCGTTATTGCCCGTTTCCGCTAATCTTTGGCGTACTGGTCGAATAACGAAATTGCAGTGACATTGACATTCCGCATCGATGCTACAACGGCCACGTGACCTGTTAAACAACTCGTCTTTCGGCGTCGATTAAACTGGTCTCTTCTTCGTCGGCACTGCCATCGCAATATCTCTTGGGTCTCGATATTTTTCTTCTCTTTGCTTTGAATATTAGGTCATACCACAAGTTATGTGGTTCTTTTAACACTAAAACTACCGAAGTTGACTGTTTGAAATTTCTCTATAAAAACTGCAAAAGTGTACCTGTCGAGATTTCCATTGATTTACAATTAAGGTTGTGTATTGCTAAATCAATTTCTTTCATCATTTATCAGAGAAACATCCGTTGTCTTTTTTAACAATTGCGAAAAGAACTCAGGAATGGGTAATTTTGACCTGCCTGGTAGTTTTAGTGTTAACCCTTTGTACTACATTTTATTTCACAATTCTGCTCGGTAGGACTACTTTATCGATAATAATTTAGTAGAAAAGGACAAAACTTTGATGCTTATTCTGTGTCCACGTTTACTTTAACGGTTGAAAACTGAAAATATACAAGTAATATTTCGTTTGTATGAAGAATCAATAAATAACGTTTAGATTTGTCGAATTCAGTAGAAAATTTTCATCACGAGTCTGACTCATTGTTATAGAAATTGTTAATGCTGACTTCTGGTGTAAAATATTAATATATACGTATTTTTTAACCCTTTAGTTTCTAGTGGCATCGCCTTGAAATCTCATGTTTCAATATCAGCAAAATGCGAATCGGTGGACTAATCGCTAAGCCACTATATAGTATAAAATCGATATAGTAACCGCCACATATTTTTTTGACAGTTACAATAGCATTTTTGATAAAAATATTTATCTTTTTTTTAATGATAAGTTAGTTAACACGTTCCGTGCCGCGTGGGGTGTATACGTCTCACGCTAAACTTTCCGTTCAAGCCATTTGGTATTATCATTGTAAAATGAAGAATTTTTTAAAAATTCCTTATGCAGTCAATTATGGGTATCTTAATACTATTGTCGCGGCGTTTATTTGATCGTGGGGCGTATACGTCCCACGCGGCGTGGTAATAATTCTTTTTTACTGCGATTTGTTTTAACGTTAAAAAATGTGGTTCCCAATCGGCAAGAAACTGTATTGTAAAAGTTGCAACATTCTGGAATAATTGTGTGGATAAACCACATTTATGTTTGCCATGTTTTAACAAAGTTCACCGTAATATCCCTTCCTGATTATATACAAACTTGTCACATAAATATAATATTAAATATATTTCAACTAAAATGTTTTATTTTAAACTAATATAGACATCATAAAAAA